GATTTGGCAGAGGTACAAATTTACTGTACCTTGAGTCAGTTGAAAATGTAAAGCGAACTGGATGTTTGCTGTTACCAAGTAATGCTTCAGTCTAATTTAGGAGATGTACAAACAAAAACACACCAAATAAACAAGACTGTGGTCTGTTTAGGCTTTGTCCTGTAAGTGGGCCAAATGCAACCACAAGGGGACAGGTTGTGGCTCTCTGCAGGAATAACTTCAATAAATCAAACAAAATGGCAAAAGCATGGAAGCAAACAGACAAAGAATTAGGAGACTAAAAGTACTGGGTGGGCTGGAGCAGAGGGAACACAGGTGACCTGATTGTTTATGAGAGGCAGGTGTGTGTGTGGAGATGAAGAGACACATGAGGAGATCAAATGGTACAATGAAAACTAGAAGAACTAAATCCTCAAAACTACTCAGAACAAAATCCCCCCCCCCCCCCCCAAATAAATAAATAAATAAACTGGTTTTATCCACACTACTCCAGATTACTTTAAAACCCCTGAATGTCCATTTTTACCTTTTTTTTTTTTTTTTGGTTTTTGTTTGGTCTGTCTTGGTCCTAGTCCTAGTCCTGGTCCTAGTCTTAGTCCTGGTCCTGGTCCTGTCCCTATTAAACATTAGTTCTGTGCTGGAAAGGTCATCTATCAGTAAATACAAACAATGTCATAGAAAAACAAGTTGTTGTTCAGAGAGAATCTTTATCCCAGCTTGAAATATTCTTACTCTGTTTTGACGTGTTGGTAATGTGGACATTCTTGACTTATTTTCCATTTTTGTAAGAATTATGAACAAAAACATTTTTAATTAACAGAGAAAAAAAAATATATATATATATATATAAACTCTGTTGAGATTAGTGCAGATGGAGTCTGACACAAAGAACCCAGACAGTATTAACAGGAACCTTTACATTCTGCTTCACAGACGTACCTGGTTTGGATTTATCATTGCGTGAACGCTGACTCAGTGGTCATTGCGTGAATGCTGAGTCAGCATTAATAGCGTGAAGGCTTACTCAGCATTCATTGTGTGAACGCTGAGTCAACATTTACACTATTGTTTTCCTGTATGTAGGTTTTTTGTCTAATGAATTCAGCGTACTTTCACCCGTTTTAACCGTTCAAATATCAAATTGTTGGGCTCATTAAGGACATTAAAGCTATGACTTTTGTTTTATTTTTGTAGCTTTTATTCTTTTTGAAATATTTAACATTTCCATGTTTTTATCTTTGAAAAAGAAACCTTTGTGAGACGTCTTGTACGCTTTGATTTGTTCTTCAATGTACTTGCTTCATGTTTAGATTTTGTTGGGTTTATTTTTAGCTTGTATTCTGATTGTTTAATTCTGCCATGAGGATTGGCCCTGCACTATTTCTGTTATTATTATATAAGTTTTGATTTGTTACCCACGCATCAGTCTGTGGTGAAGCAGGGCTGTCTCCTCTCATCAGTCTGTTAATTCCTCTTTCTGCAAACCTTTTATCTCATGTGATTATTCTAGGGATGCACAATATTATCTGCGTGGTATCAGTATCAGTCAATATTAGCGATAAAGTTAAATATCGGACATCGGCCATTCCATCAAAATAACTCACTGATAATAACAGGAGCTGGGTTTTTTTGTATACATTATATATAGTGTTACATAATTTTCAGCCTCCTTTTTGGCATCTGCATTTGGTAGCAAACCAAATTGACAAAGACCATGCAGAATAATGTAGTATTTTAATTCCACAGCAGAGAAAGCTGTGTAGTCTCTGTAAGTAGATCTAGGAAAAAAGAAATCAAATATATATATATATCAATATTGGTATCGGTTATCGGCCAAATGAGTTTTAACATATTGGCATATCGGATATCGGCCAAAAATCCAATATTGTGCATCCCTAGATTATTTGGTATTTTTCTCAACAATCCGTGTATTAGAACATCCTCGTCGTAGCGTCTGACTGATCCCAGGGTTCCTCCAAATCAACTTTTCAACTTCCAAACCACAGAATCTGAGCAGCAGAGGCTTGTCACCCTGATTATCCTTGGTTTATGTGTGTAAATGTTTCTATTAGACCAAATAAACATGGACTTGTTGGAAAATGATTATTTTTTAACTTACATCTAACCATTTTATCTCTCATAACAATTATAGCCAATAAACAGTCATTTTATAAAGGTAGTTTCTTTTCTAGAAATCACCTCAGGACCTAAAGCTGGATATTTTAGTGACAACCCCATCTTTAAAGAGTCACTTTAATTACCTGTACTGTTTGGACTCAGCCAATCAGAAACATCGGACGATGCTCAGCTGCTTTGAAAACATGAACTAAGGAACGAGATGTGAGTTTGTGTTTGGAGGAGCTGGACCCGCAGCGTGGAGGTCTACCTTGGAAAGGGCTACTGCTTAGAACAGGAGCAGTTTATTTAGATCTTTGACAGCTTTTCTTCTGCATGCGGGCTTTTTAACGCTAATACATGTATTTATACAAGATCTGACCTTACAGTCTGCTCATGGTTAAAGTTTATTTTCCTTTCTGAATGTATCGCAGTTGGACAACTTTTCTGAATATGTGCATCTGACATTTTATTCATCTGCTTTGTTAGTATTAACGTTTGTTAATATGTCACGAAAAGCATATTTATCATTCTTATCAGATTCTAATGAATTTATTACTGGAAATTAGTATGTTTCCTTATGCAAAATGTACAATTAATAAACAAGCTATTCAACAACTCATTGCCTTGTGTTGGTTTATTATCGCCTGCTGCCGAAAGGCGGACAATGTTGTTTTTGTTGTCCATTAACAAAATATCTCATGAACCATTGCACAGATTTGAATGATATTTAATCAAGTGTACATCTATAGCAGATTAACTTTATTAAAACAATCACAACACAGAGAAAAGTATCATCTCATCACTGAGATCCAACCACCCCCTGGTGCAGAGGAAGAGAGTACACAAGTAAATGTAAAAACTCATTAAAATTATTAACTCAATAAAATCATTAAAATGTTACATTGAGTAAAAGTTACTTTTTTTTCCAGCAGTTCATGAAGAGAAGACTTCTTTTTCTGAAATGAGCTCCAAAATTAAACAAAAAGCTTTGAAATTTATTATTCAGTTACAAATAAAACATGTCCATGCCTGATATTTAAATCACTTAGGGATAATAAACTGTCATTTCAGTTCAGACCAGCCTACAGTGCTCATCTTGTTCGGCAACACAAAATGTTAAAACCACAATGCATACCTTCAGGTTCACTCGATCCTCTGCTTCAGGATGTAGGTGGAGGATTTACTGTGACAGGTAACTTAGAGAGGATAGAAACTTGGTGTAGGATAGTCTGTAAAGCACAAAGGTTATATGTATATATATATATATTTTGTTTACAATCAAATTACAATTACAATTTTTACGTTAATTTTTGTATTGTTTTGCACAATAGAAAACATCCATACAGAGAGTCAGAGAGATTTATTTGTCATTCACGTCTCATGTGGTACATGTGGTGGAACGAGATTATGTACACAGGGACCCTGTTACATCCAATAATAAAATATAAAAGAAAAACAGTAATATGAACTAAGAAAAATATCAACTAAATAATACAATAAGCTCTAGTAGCATAAAAACATTACGTCGAACAGCAGCACGAACATGAGTCTGTGTGAGCAGATGAGTACGCATGAACACAGCAACATGAAACAGATCAGCAGCAACAGGGTGTGATTTTTCACAGTGATTATCCTGGTTAGATATTCATGAGTCTAACAGTCTCAGGGTAGAAGCTGTTCCTCAGTCTAGTGGTTCTACACTTAATGCTCCTTAACTCTTCCTGAGGGGAGCGGGGCAAGAAGTGTGTGTGCTGGGTGAGTGGGGTCCTTCATGATGCAGGTGGCTCTCTTCCTGCATCTATAGGTGTAGATGTCTATGATGGTGGGGAGGCTGACTCCAACAGTCTTCTGTGCAGCCTTCACCACTCTGCGAAGCTTTTCTTTCTGCAGCTGTGCAGCGGTACTGGTTGTTTTTTAATATTAGTTATGAAAAATGTGTTTTTGTCAGTAGGTATGCAAGTGTGTCCCACACATTTTATTATAATTTTTTTATTACACCTTTATTTAACCAGATAAAAAAAAAACATTAAGATTATTAATTATATCTCTATGTTCTGTCCCACCTAATTTTAGTTTTTTAAAGTGCAGAAAATGAGCAAAGTGGTATTTCTTCACAATTATTTGTGTTTTTAAAAGGTTTATATTTACCTAAGCTTTACAGTAGTATAACTGTCTTTTATTGTTCAGCACTTTGATAGCAATCTGTTGTTTTTAAATCCATCCATCCAGCTATCCATTATTTTTTACCTGCTTCTTCCTTTCCCAGTCCCGGGGACCAATGGTGTCCACATCCAGCAGTAACTGTGGGAGAGGGACACAATGGACAAGTCACAAGTCCATCACAGAGACACATAGAGACAAACATGCTTTATAAATAAATTTGACTTTGACTTTAGCACAAATATCTTTCAATTTAAAAACTGTTTTCTGACAGTGAGCCATACACAGAGACAACTGAAAAGTTCATGTTTTCACTGATTTATGAATTAATATAACGTTACTTGCAAATAAAACATAATGCAATGTATTCTTGAATTTCTGTCTTAGATAATTATAACAACTAATGACAAATAATAGGGCTATTTCACTAATTTTATATTATTTAACTGATATTTAGGGGCCCTTAAATATCAATTAGTTAGTTACTAGCTCACTACTTACTAGCTTCAGGTCTCTCTTGTAAATGAGTCCTCGAGGCTCAATGGGATTTACCTGTATAAATAAAGGTTGATTGATAGCTGTACCACTTTCCAAAATGGCGGCACAAATTCTCGTCAGAGCTCGCACATAGCGCGCATGCGTCGGAAATCCCATCGTTTCTCTCGCGCAGCCGGCAGGTGGCCCATGCGCAAAGCGTCTGTAAGCTGTTACACTCCGGAAGTAAAACAAAAATTAGGTTCCGTTTTAAGAACAATCTAATTGGCGGCTGAAAGGCGGCTAAGTATAAATTTAGAGAATAAGCAAACAAATGGAATCTTGTATTAAAACAAACAAAAAAAATTAAGGTAAAGTTAATGTTTTTTTGTTTTTTTTCCCTGGTATAAACCGTTTTTCGCTCCGTCTTGGCGGAAGCATCTTTAGTGAATATGGAGCAGCTGTTCAACAAAGTGTTACAAGTCATCGTGAGGTGTAAGGACTGCGAGGAAAGGTAAACAAAAACAATATTTAATTATTAAGATTTTCACGGGGGCTTCGGTAAAGGCTAATTACAGCTAAAGGCAGAGACGCTTAGCAGGTTTACTGTTTTAATTAAAGGTTTTTGTGTTCGTCTTTGATTTATAATCACAACTTGTTATGGTGCAACAAATGCTTTCGATAGAAAAGCTTTAAAATAATTAGGTATTTTAATTATTAAACCATTTGCAATAAAACTGTGTTACCCCTAAAAGTTTGAATTTGTCACTGGAGTAAGTAAATTATATTTATGTTGTATGTTTGGTTGAGACAGAGCTCAAGATGATGAGATTTGTTCTTTTATTGATTGATTGATTGATTGGCATCTTGTAGACAGTTGAACAGAGGTTTCACTGGAGGGAAATGTTTCTGAATATTGATCCCAAAGGAAGCATATATATTTATCATATACGCACCCCCAACTTTGTCTTTTCTTCTGTGGTTTGAGTTTTCATTGAGGGTTTTTAAACAGTTTGGACACTTGGCGTTCAAAGGTCATGAACAGTTACGTTTTGAAGAGATTTATAGAAATCAGACAGGAGGCTGAGTCTGGGGCAAAAGCTATTTCTTCAAAAAAAAAAATTGTTAATGTTGTATTGTGAGACAAGTGTCCAGTTACACCCATGATCCATCACCGTTGAACCAGGACACCTCACCGTGATGGTTTCATTTTACAGGAGGGCAAACATCCGAGTCACCATTCAGCTTCAGCTGACAAATCCAGTGCACAAAAGGGTGAGTAAAGGTTTATTTTTCTGGGTGCACAGCTCAGTTAGGACATTGAAACCTTCATTTCCAGGTGTAAAACTTTTGTTTATTTCAGGATCTTCTCGTAAGATTAACAGACGACGTGGATCCATATTTTCTCTTCAACCTTTCAATATCGGAAGAAGATTTTCTAAGGTACTGTATATGCATTGGTCAAAGCGGAGAAAAATTATGCTTAAAGTTTAAACACAAACACTTCTTCTCCTCTGTCTCTCTCTCTGTGTGTAGTTTGAAAGTGCAGCAGGGCCTGCTGATAGACTTTGCATCGTTTCCTCAGAAGTTCATCGATTTGCTGAACTTGTGCAGCTCGGAGCAGGAGTCCGACAGTCCGAGGTTTGAATTGTTTTCTCTGCAGTTAAAATGAAAATGCTTTGGGATTGATCTTCAAATGTTTATTTATTTTCTTACAGTACAAAGATTGTCTAATGCAGACTTTCTTGTTAGCAAAATATCTCATAAATCATTAAGAAGGTTTAAATGAAACTCCCAGAAAGTAACCATTGAATGAACATCTTCAGCTGATAAAAATCTGGAGTGAAATTTAAGGCTGCCTCGTCCCCCTGACCTTAGAAAACACCACTTGACAGCCAACACAATGGCAGAATTTGAGCTCAAATTGGATGTGGTTGTAGCTGAGAGTCGTTCACAACAGAAACTCTAAGCAGCAAATGAGATCTTTTTCTCTTCTTCACAACAACATCATTCTACACACAACCATCTGATGATGTCTGGCCACGCTCTCACCTGCCACAACCTTACAGTCCCCAATCTCCCTCAGGTTTCCTCTTCTACACAGAATGTAGTCGACCTGCGTACTCCTTCCTCCACTCTTATAGATCACTCTGTGTTCCTCCCTTTTTTGGAAATCAGTGTTGACCAAAGCTATTTACATTCTCTTGGCAAAATCCACCACCATCTCTCCTTCCTAGGCTTTTTTTGTTGACACCAAACCTACCCATCACTTCCTCATCCCCTCTGTTTCCTTCACCAACATGTCCATTCAGGTCTGCTCTGGTCACCACTCTCTCATCACTGGGAATACTCTCTATCACTTCATCCAGATCCTTCCAAAATATATTTCTCCTCCACATTACATCCAACCTGTGGAGCATAACCACTGATTTAGCATCAGACCTTCTATTTCTACCTTCAGACACATCACCCTATCTGACACTCTCTTCACCTCTACTACATTCTTTGCCAACTC